AATAATTTACAACCAATGTACCTGTAATCTCATCCAAACTGAATGATGCAGGAGACTTTAAAAATGACGAGGACAGAAAAATCTAAGCTGACTGAAAGTTTTCAGTTCCAATTAGAAAAAGGAAATGAAGTGCTAAGGGCATCGGTAACAAGCCGAACCCGAGAAGGGCAGGAATAGATGTAACATAAAGTATCTGTCCATAATTACACACAGCTGCACAACGTCAACCTGAATGGGTCACAGACTTCAGTCCTGCAACACAAGTGGAGGTATTCAGAGTTATCACTAATCCTAAACACGGCGAAGCAGCAAAACTTAGTCTGATTTCAAAAGTCTTTCAAGATGCTCATAAGGATGATGGTAATGAATTACTGAGATTAGCCTAACAACCATTTAATGTTTTGGAAATCAAGAGTTTCATCGGACTGTTATAAATTATAATCAATCAATCCAGTTGGTAAGAAATGAAACTAAAATTGCTGCGATAACCGCGGAAAATAGACCAGGCTAATAGTATCTAAGATGGTAGAATTCTCGGGCCTACAAAGACTAAGCTGAACTCGAAAAAATCAGGCATTATTTAGATCTAAATCGAGTGTATTCCTCAAAACTTCATAGTTCGATGGGATGTAGGCATCGATCCTCCAAATATAACTGAGGGTGCAAGAGCCGTCACTTATCTGAGATGAGGTAAAATAGTGGGACTATTACATAGGTTTAGGATTACGATAAGCTCCCACCAAGTGCAGGATACTGCCATAATACTGCAAGTGAAATGGTTGAATATATTGACCACTTTTCATCCACATGATCAGTTACAACAGTTCTAACCAACTAGCTGCTGACGAAATCTTAGCATCTGAAAAATTGTGTTATTTCTGATGCATGCGAGGTATGTCTTCACCCATAAAAGTTCATATACAGAGCAGCAATATGCACTGTTGTCCTACGGCTTAGATATGGTCGATGAAGGTAGGATACAGAAGTAATATAGGCTTTTTATCATTTAGTCTTTAGTGTTTGGTTGGGGAATGAAGTACGATACTGAATCTTATGTAAGAAATAAAGGGCGACCGATAATACTATGAAGTTTCGAACGAGACGGTTAGAACATGTGCTATGCATGTGAGCCAACCAACTTTCTCAACCAGTAATCAGTCAATCGTAGGAACTAACTTGACTATCTGGTCAGATTAAAAGGCGTGAAATACGCTTCTAGTATTTGAGTTGGACAATCAGTTACTGCAATTTTTCGCACAGTTATGTTACGGAATAAAAGGCATATCGTATTCGAAAGTCGTTCGCATTGCATTTGATTGAATGATGCTTTGGTAAATAGGAAATATCACAAAGCATTACTTGTTGTTTTCACCCCTAAACTGGACATCGAAAATGCCAAACACACAGCAGTGTCTGGAATTCTACCTAAAAACACCTAATTCCACCTGGGGAAAAATTCATGTTACGCATCACTGATTGAGGGCATTACTTTGATTTGATGGATCCAGATTTAGACGCCATGCAATTCGATCTGGGTGACTGACTGGGTAGTATCATCAGCTTTGTACATGCGTGTGGTTAATAGTCTGGTTTGATAAGGTCGCAAATTCAGTGTTTAACCAACTTCGAAAATCGAGTTGAAATACAGCAAAAGATGTTTAAGTGAGAAATAATGAGTATTTAATGAAAAGTGAATGAATCTACGCCATCGCTAACAATTTTGAGACTTCACACTTGTATCTCGATGGCCATTTTTCAGACTGACAACAAATCTATCGTCTAATATTGCTCGCCTACGAAAGCAGCTACACGCTACGCGTAACAAATGTCAAATATCGCAATGAACCAGAGCTAGCATAGCTAATGTAAACCTTGCACCTACATTTCATCAAAATTACACAACATAATCTAACAAATATTACCAAATCCACATACCTTTGTCGATCTCCAAGATAGGGCATGACACCTCCGTATGGTAAAAGTGATAGAACTTCTTGCAACCGTTCTCTAAACAAACAAAAAATGGTGTGTAAGATGTCGTGTACAAACAAACAATGAAATGAAGTGGCGAAGCTTACTTATAGTTTTCATAAACTTGTCCGAAGCTGTCATGCTTGGCCAGTTTCCTCATGAAGGCAACTTGACACTCATATCCTGCGTAATCTATCTGTACTTTGCGGCCAACAAGAGCCCGATTGCGAGTTTCATTTACTGCATGTTGAGCTACTTCAACATTATCGAAGTACAGAAGAGCTCTCATTGACTTTCTGTCCAAAACCACATGTGTGAGCTGACCATATCGACCAAATTGTCTCGTTAGAAAGGCTTCATTAATAGTTGGTGACAAGTTATCAAGCCAAACTACATTCGTAGGCTGGCTTTTACCAAAACCTAACTTAACAGGCTTTCCGTTGACACGGACTGTTTCTTGGTCTTTCAATGCTCGAACAACACTTTTAATATCTCCATACTGTATAAATGCATATGACGTTCCAGGTTGGTTTGCTTGGATTTTAATATCTATCTCCTACGAAGGTTAGTTATAAGTGAACACTAAACTTACAATTATTTCACCATAACCACGGAAAGTCCGACGAAGTTCATCTTGAGTTATTGTGCCTGAACACAGATTACCAACAAACAAAGTCTTAGTGGCTTTCGGGTGATATTCATCTAAAGCGTGTTCAGGAGGACATAGATCAGGGTCTTCAGCATCTATATGAAAAAACCTAATTACCAATAAAAAAGAGACTTACTTAAACCTTCGTGAGGATGCACAGATATAGGCGTACCGAAAAACACTTTACCCTTTGATGAAGCAAGTGCTCTTTCGGCATCCTCACTCCTTTTGAATGTTATTATACAGATACGCTCCTCATCTTGTCCCCGAACGAACACGGAGGTGATTTTTCCATGCTTTTTATATTCATGAAACAATCCTTCCCGCAAATTTGTATCTGATGAACGCAAAGGAAGATGAGTAATTTTTAATCCACGGAGTTCATTTTGAGGATGAGGACTTGTGTTCATATTGGCTGCTTTAGAATCCTTAGAATAACTTCGGTTTGTCGCAGTGTTTGATAAACTATTTTAATAAAAGTGTCAATTAAACGGATTTCGAGAAATCTACCAGGTTTGGGATTGTTCTTTACTGTCCGGATCATGAAATACAGAACTGGAGTCGCTAACTGTACTCACAGACCGACTTTTTTGTTGTGAATAATCACCATCTGACTGAAAAAGGCTGATAAGTTAATGTCAAATATAGTCATTCAAATGCTTTACCTAGTGTTGCTTGTCTGAGTATAATCCGCAGAAGTAGACAGTTGTTCTGAACTATTATTTCCAGGTACACCCGATGATTCACAGTATTGAAGAGATAAATTAACTTTTTTTAGTCGAACAGTACTTTCCACAGCTCGTGTTGCAGATTTAGTATCAACAAACGCAACAACAGCACCGTTATTTCCATCGTGCTCATGTATGCGTACACTTTGTATTTTTCCATGACTGAAAAGAAAACCGAGCAAAATGTAAATCCATTTGCTTAATTCCAAATGACATGCATAGTAAATAGAATTGTACAACAATGAAAACAGTAATATATATCCAATTTATTAAAATCTCCGGATTTGAAATAGACTACCTTTGTAGAACATCACGAATATCTTGTTCAGTTACACGGGCAGGTAAATTATTAATCCATAAATATCGTGTTACACGCATTACTTAATCGTCAACTTGAATTAAATCGTAAGTTAAGTATACAGCGTCGAAATCCAAGCATAACATCAGAGCGCGACAATACCAGACCGCAATGTAGACAGCCTAGAATCAAATAATTATTTTAGTTTCATTCAACTTATGCCTGTGTTGTGAACGGAGAGAAGAAAATCGATTGGTCGCTAAGACAGGATAACCACCACCTTCAATTCAGACTTCTACCATAGGTTTTACCACCGATTGCAATAAGGTGTTGCTTTTATGAAAAGTAAGATATACTTGAGAGTTTCATTTAAAAATAATGTATAATTTCAAAGATTTCTCCAAAATCTGACTGCCCGGTTTATTGATCGATTGTTGTATGCCTCGCCTTCTGCTTTTCTATTGGTTGACCTAGACAATAAGTCTAGTTATTATGTCAATAGCCCTCAGTCATTCATAGGTCAGTCCAGACTGGTTGAAAAATTAACCAATCGCAAATCTCAGATTGAAGGTTAGTTCTATGGCCCTACTTTCTTTTCATTCCGGTTAAAATCTCTATACATCACTATGATTTGTGGTATGCATGATAATTACTTATAGTGGATCTAAAGATTGACTTGTATGGTGAGAAAGATAGTCAGGATATTCGAAATAGTTACACCTTTGAGTAATTAAAATCTGATAACAAAGATGTATACAGATCCGTTAAGTGGATTATTAATTTGATTCCCATCATGGCGTTGTCAGCTGAAGTGGATTTTTAAATGAGGACAGCCGATGAAGATATTCAGCGTTTTTGTAGCTCTGAAACGACTCTTCTCTTAAAGTCTAAATGTGGATGTGTTAAGTGCAAAGGTTATTTAGCAACCAACCTTGTTCATTAAAGTTATTCACGGGTTTTTGTTTCGGGATCTACAAAATGAATAAGTTATCAAACTTGACGTTATTTCCTTCTCTGAAAAATCTGACAGTCTTGCCATGAGTACATTTCACATTGGTTTTTAACCAACATTTTAGATCATAATGGTATTCTTAACATTACAGATATTTGATTTGGAGATTCAGATTCCCTAACCAAAAAAAGACGGAAGTTAAGCAGGGATGTTTGAAATGGCCATTGGTGCAATCATGCCTTCCGAAAATCACCTTGTTTTGTTCATTGGAACAAAACTTGGTTTAATTTACAGTAGTTGCTTCGCAAAAAAATTAATTATACTGAAAACCCTCAGAATGTCTGGGAGCTTGTCCAAGACTCATGTATCCCTTGATAAGTGTGTAGTCTCATCATATCTAGTATGAGGTCTTGCATTTGGACTGCTACTCACAATACGATTACCTTACATTTAGTAGTCGAACTTCAGATTAGTCACTTACTTCGCTCCCTCTTAGCAACTAGGTAATAGCAACACGTCTCTTCCTGATAACAGTAAATTTACCAATTTAGAGACCTAAATTCCGCACTGTTTAATATAAATTGGGTTAGTTTGTTGTTCACATTCGATTATCTTTAATTAAGGTAGCAATCTATCTATGAACACATGAAGCAAAAGGATATAAATTCAAACGAAAGGAAGTTTTCTAGACATCACTACTGAGAGTGTTGGTCGAAAGCACTGAGCTGGAATCTACCACTGTATGCATGATGAACCGAATACAATTCGCTACTTTTGTATGCCTGCTATCTTGAACATAAATATCATAAATGTTATTTCTATTGCTCAATGTTGTGCGAATGTTTGTCGTACTGTCAAAAAGTCTTATTCTAATTGGAATATTATTTTAAACTTAAATTTATCGATTCTCTTCTCAATGACATCAACAACTATTATTTTAACTTCTCGCAAATTAAATGTTTATACAATTCTGTTCAAGATTTTAACAATGCCCATAACTAAATCAAAAACAACCTAGATGGAAGTACATAAAATCACCTATAAAAATAATTATATTTTAAATGTAAGAACTTGGTTCTTCTTGTTCAGAAGGTTTGAATGTACCCACACAAAAAAAACTGACATATCTTTCTTAAACTTGAATTTATATATTTCAAAAATTTAAATAAAATGTCAAGATAACGTGGGATTGTTTTCAGTTACGTTAATTGACTGGAAAGTTATGTCATCATGAAGATATCACTTTCAATGATTAAGTATACTCCGTAATGGTAATTTCCTCGTTCCGTACTCAATACATTAATAGACTTTTAGACAATGAAGAGTTTTAAATAATTTCCACTCTAAAGTTCAAGCTTATAACATACTCTGTCCTTATTCTGAATTACAATGATCTATATATTTGGGATTCTAAACTATTTATTTATTTATACAATCTCTGATCAAGATTTCACCGGGTCGTTCTATAAAAACTGGGCATCGAGCGAAAAGTAGACATACAGATGATATTTGTATACATCTCAGAGAAATCGAAATGAATAATTCCACGATTTTGTTTGGCAAAAAACTACTCTGAAATTCTTCAGGGAAATAATCAAACTTAAAATACCCAAAGGTATATGTATGTATGTAAAACAGATTTATTTGGTCAATGTATTGCCTGTATTCTTTTACGGAAACAGCTTCTAACAACATGATAATCAGAAACCTGCAATGTTTATGTTCCACTCATGGTAATTAATTCTTATTCCTTCAATAATTCATGAAATGTTTCTACATCTAAAGATGGGATTAAAAATTTAAAAAAGTGAAGTTTAACAAATATTAGAAACTAATTATTTTTCTAGATTTTGCTCTACTTTTATTAATGAAAAGTTTAGCTAAAAGAATAATTAATAATGTGAAGTTTACTTTATTTTTCTTTTACAGAAAGAAATGGTATTAACAGTCAGGAGGCTAATCTGAATGAAATGATAACTTGGTTTCCTCTCTAGTAACTCTTCTCAACACATTATGTACAGTTATACGGACTTCAGTGAAAACATATCTTAGGATAAAAAGTAGCATTATGTTTGCTGTCAATCGGGCAACGAAACTATCATAGGCAAAACCACAGTAACCTTGAACAATCCATCAGAACTCAGATGCAAAAAAGTCGTATGATCGTTGAAAAATACGCTAGGAAATATTGCAAACTTGATATTACGCTGTAGAGTTGTAGGTTATGTGTTGTAAGAATGTCTCTCAGTCAATACATAGGTAATCTATAGAGAAATAATACTATGCGCGGTATAACCATTACACACAATGTGTGCAAACTATTGAAATATAATTATAATTTATTAGATCCATTGATATTTCTGATACTATTCTCCAACCATAATCCTATCCTAATCTTAATCGTAAAAGCCATAACTCTACTTAACAGTATAGATTTGCAGAAACAGTGCCTAGTAAATAAGTAGAATACTGTATGTATCCTCTCCAAGTCCAGTAAAAAGTAGGCATGTTTTGATTTGGAATAATATTGCATATCATCCTTTGTGTGCGATCGGTTCTTGAAGGTCAACTTTTAAAAGACATTGACTTTGGCTATGATACTTTAACTCTGCTGTTAGTCGTACCCTTGAGAAATGAGTGTGTTATCGTGTTATGTGCACGTCTCCTCTTAAGTTTTCATACTTACAATTCTATTTCAGTTAGTTACAGGATTCCATCATGAGCTGACACTGGTTAGAGAACCACTCGAAAACCTGGGAGTACTGGACAGCTGTTTCGTCCTAGTTTGGGACTCTTCAGCAGTACGCACCCACCTGGATTCGAACCCCACAGTGTTGGTGAGTACTGTGAAGAGTCCCAAACTGGGACGAAACAGCTGTCCGGTACTCCTAGATTTCCCAATGGTTCTCTAACTGATATCAGCTCATGATGAAATCCTGTAACAAATTTTTTATTCTTTTGTTAAATGCTCATAGATGTTAAAAAAAATTATATTTGTAAAATCTCAGCGAAATTGAAATGAGTAATTTACAAATGTCTACTTCTCACTCGGCGCCTAAATATTTTAGCACTATTCTGTCACATCTTGACGACAGTTCATTTGAATGCTCACTGATGAGTTTATAAGTTGATGGTGATTAAAGCAAACTCACTATACTGAGAGAGAGAAAGTAAATAAATAAACGAGGTAAGTGTCGTCTTTACGTCTTAGTACACGTATTTCCTGTTGTCAATGTAGGGAACATGATATATGCGCCTTTCGTTGAATGTTATAATTTACTTCATAAGCCTATTTATCTTGAATAGTATCTCGAATGAAATCCTAATCTGAAGCAAATCAAATAATTAGCATACTGGATTACCATTAATTTTAAATTCTTCCTATTGCACTGTAGACCTAGAATGTGTATCTTTGGCTATCAGAGATCTACACATTAATTTACTAAGGTAATTGTAATGTTAATATTGCTTATACGAGTTTGACCACGGATTGATATCAGTTAGAGAAGTCACTGAATCGGGTCCCTGTGGCTGAATGGTATACGGGCTTGTCTTGTAGTCACCAGATCTTGGGTTCGAACCGCAGTGGGTGCGTACTGCCGATGATTCCCAAACTAAGATGAAACGGCTATCCAGTACTCTCTGGTTTTCAATGGTTCTCTAACTGATATCAATCCGTGATCAAACTCGTATAAACAAATCTAATATTTACAAACCAACTCCTCAAAAGAATCTTAACATTGGCATAAATTCCTGTTCAGTTGAGAAAAGAGTAAAATTGAACAAAGAATAATCTCGTTCTGCAGTTATATATGTATATCGAGTTTTTAAAATCAATAGAATTACTGTCCAAAAGCATGTGTGCAAGTGATAATAGGCTTAAAAATCTAATTCTGAATTAAAGATCAAATGAAATTAGAAATGAAATTAATATAATTGTTATAGGCTTAAGAGGAAGAGGTGACTGTCAGATTATTACAATTAAGTAATACTGACCAAGGTGAGGAAAACGTCTGAATGAACTCCCTCTGAACAGATAAACTCAGTTGCTTCAGATGAATTCCAAAAGTTTCAGCTATGTGTAAAAGCTATAATCGACCAATGGTGATTCCTCGATTGAAAGACGAAGTACCTAGACTAGCCACTTCAGATTGTATCTAGAAATTTAACTGCGTTTGTGGAGCGAGTTATATCAGCCGTTGCTGTGCTAGAGAACATCTCCCAGTATGGCTAAGTGAAGGTGTAGTAAAAGCCATCAACAGTTCGATATTAGACCATCTGATCCAAACCGGCCACAAAGCCAGTATTGAAGAATCCTTCTCTCTCATCTACAGAGTACAAAATAAATTGCCGAAAGAATATAGGTATCGAATACTCCAAACAGTAGAAGCTATCGCGATTCGCCTCAAACAATTGGTGCTCTGTGTGCAGAAGAAACAAGTCCACCCACTGCTACCGCCCTGCCCTTCAGTGGAGACTATAAATTCATGAATTTGTATTATTATCTTTCCTAATTTTTTCTGACATTTAGCTTATTTTACGCTGATGCTATTGAATTGTAATCTATTGGTATTAATATTGATTCGATGTTATTTAAATAACATTAATGTTGTTCATAACACTAATTCATTCATTCACTATAAGGTATATATAACTGTAGAGCCCGATGATGAAGTTGTCTGAAAGAGTACTCTTTGTGCACTAACCATTCTTTTGAAAATAAGGATTAGTTAGAATAAAATATTTAACTGTAGAGCCAGATAAGAAACTTATCGGAAAAAAATGTTCTTTACTAAATCTGTATCTTTTGTCTTTTAATTGTGATCACTTGTATTTAGCTTCTTGGATTAAATTCACCAACCACAAGGACACCAGTTTCTCGCGTGTATGCACTTATACTGTTGTTAGTCAATCTTGAATTGCGCAACAGTTATGTAATCCAAAGAACCGTAACTCATTATTCTAAGTCGTTTGCTTTCCACTGATAGTTCACTGCTTTAAGACACACTATACCTACCTGTGGAGGTTTAGGTAGCCGAGTGTGTTTCATTGCTAAGTAAATCAATGTGCTATTGATAGCTTAGTTACATAGCACATTAACTTTGCACTAGATTATTAACACATCAAATTTTATTTACAATTCACTTTTTATAGGTTCTTAATCAGACCTAGTGACCTGCGGGAATTAAACTTTTAGTCACTACTTAATGCCATGAGAAAGTAGTTGGTGTATGCACCGAAGATTGTAGATTAAATATGATTAAAAGTAATTCCATTCGACTTATTAAGTCAACAACAAAACTATGGGGTAATTTTTGGATCCACACAGTAGTTTCTTATGTCTGTGGTTAAGATTTACTTATAAACAGTACAAGTGTAACAACAGAAGGCAAGACACGGAAGCCAGGGTATATTTTCCATTAATCAAACCGCTGTTTATATATCTACAGTTTATATTCGTTAACCAATCACCGAGAGTGTGATTTCGGTTTATATTAAACATGATATAGAATTTTCACGTTCACATAGTATTCTTCCGTTAATGCAGTATGTAACCGTGAGAAATGTAATCTGTCCAACACCAATTTGAATATTCATATATAAATTGTTTTGTTTTAAAGGCTCCACAGGATCCTTTAACCGAAAAAAGCTTGTTTCTAATCGAGTTTGTAGGTTTGAATGCCACTTTTATTCCAGCCTTG